CCATGAACAACTTCTCACCATTTGAAACTGGTTCGAAAGTTGTGAATATCTTCTTCTCCGCACAGGTGGGGTGAGTGGCCCTAGTGTCCACCCATCACTCATTCGGGTTGGACCCCACCATGTTCACTTTGGAGACGACAGTTGCCAGATGCATGTTGTCCACATCTTGAAATAGATCCTCCATCTCAGCCATGTGAGCTCGACTTTTGTTTTGTGAAGGGTCCTTGTTGTATGACTTTTTCTTTTTGTTGCAGTCAACTGCTTGATGCCCATCGCTTCCACAGTTGAAGCACTTTCCATTAAACCTACAAATAGGTTCTTGCGGCTTGTAGACCGACCTTTTGGAGACACCGCCTCTTGTCCCCAGCTTTGAGCTTTTGTCTGTCGGTGGCTTTTTCTTTACCCCCAAGGACTAGCCATGCTCAGCCACATTTGCTTTTACAGTAGAGGTATTCCCCCATTTCCTCTTGTTGTCTTCCTCAGTCCGGAACTTGACAACGAGTTCTTCGACTGTCATCTCCTTTCATTTATGCTTCAAGTAGTTCTCGAAGTCTTTCCAGCCGTTAGGCAGCTTATTAATCAGTGCAGTTGCTTGGAATGATTCACTCAGGAACATTCCCTTTGTATGAATCCGGTGCAAAATAACTTGGAACTTTTGGAATTGACTGATGATGGTTTTTTAGTCGACCATCTTAAAGTCTAGAAACCGACCAACGACAAATTTCTTTGCCCCAGTATCCTCGGTCTTGTACTTCTTGTCCAAAGCATTGCACAGCTCCTTTGCCGACTTCTTGGCATAAAACACATTGACCAATAAATCTGCCAAGCCATTTGGAACATAGTTCCAGCAAAGGAAGTCTGACTACTTCCAAGCATCTAGAGCCATGAGCTTCTGTTTGTCTTGCTTATTCTTCTTCACAACTGGTGGATCCTCACTCAAAAACCTCGCAAGGCTAAGAGTAGTCAAGTAGAACAGCATCTTCTGCTACCACCTCTTGAAATTCACTCCCATAAACTTCTTCGGGCGCTTGTGATGGTTGAACGGGCCTCCCGGAACAGTAGGAGTAGCAATAAGGTTGACCACAGAGGTCACAACAACCGGGTTGACCACAGAGGTCACAGCAATAGGGGTTGGCAAGCTAGTTGCCCTGAGGTTCAGATCCCCACCAACATTAGCAGCAGCAGCATCAGTGATAGTTATTATTTCTGAAAAAGACAACAGAATTTCACTTTCTGTGTTTCCAGAAATTAAACTTAACACTAGAAAATTCTACAGTTGGAAATTTAATTCAAAACTAGCCTCACTACTTAACCAAGAATCGAACATAGTCAGGAATGCTCCGAGGAAGACTGGAGGGGTCACATCGGTCCCACTTAAAACCCAGTTAACCTTTTGACAAAACTTTCAAAAGCATATTGACTCCTAATCCATGGGAAACAATTTTCAGAATTAAGTTTTCTAGAGATGAACTAGATTAAAACAAACCAAGGTCCAAACTTACAAGCAATTTAAAAATTACTGAAAAAATGATAAGCAAATAAATTGCTTCTAACAATACAAACAAACAAACTTGCTTCAAAAATTAGGTAAATAACTAACTAAATCCAAGCAAAAAAAAGTTTTTGCTTCAAATATAAACCAAAATAGACCAATCCAAATAGGATTATTATTTTATAAACTTCTTTTCTCGCTTAGGTATTTCTGTTCAATCAAAAAGATTAGTAGTCCAAATTTTTATTGCAATCCCAAATTTTATTCATTTGGATTTATATATTTTTTTTTTCCATTCCCTTGCGCATAGGTGTGCCTGTAAAGTAAGTTAGCAGAAAAACACAACAAAATACAAAATAAATAATCCAATGAAACTGTAACAACAATAAATTAATTAAATAGCAAAATTACGTAAAATTAAAATGCTAGATAAGTTATACAATTAAACTTGTAACTCCCAAATAAATTACAAACCTTATAACTTTAAAAATTAAATTAAAATTAAATGACAAGAGTTATAGGAAATTATACCACAATAATCATGTACATAAATTCAGACAATTTACAAGACTCTATAACTCCAAATACTTCAATTAATAGGCAATAATTATATGAAAATTTTGCCAATGCAAATGCAATGAACATGTAATAAATTTATAAATTATTCTAGCAATTAACATCCAAATAATTCTATTAAACTAAAAATTTAGAAACTAAAATCTAGAAAAATTAGAACATGTAAATTATGCTACAACTCTATGATCTAATGATCACGTGTTTATACTCAAAAAGTAAAAACTAATTGGCATGTCAATTTTAATTTAATCACTTATGAGCATGCAAATTTTATTAGAAAGCTATAAAATAAAACATGCAAAGCATGGTAAGAAATTTAAAATCATACTCATAAAACTATGCATCTAAAACAAATAATAGACCAGTTATTTAATCATCAACAACCTAATTTTCTTTTCATGCAGAAAACAAATTGGAAGCAAAATAAAACATGAGGAAAATATTTATTTATTTAAATTCTAATCATGACCTTGATATATATAAGAGTAGCCTTAGGCATGCTACTGTTCGGGCACTCACGGTGAGACGGCTAATTTGTTTTAAGGAAATTGTGGTATCACACATATTTCGGTTTGTGCTTCTATGCCTTATTTTTGTTGTTTGTATTTCTGTTCATAAAGTTGTATGGTGTAATCCCATGATTTCTTTTCTTGTAAATCAATTTTATTTCGTATGAATCTATTTGTTTTATTTAACTGCACAATTTAGACAGCAAAGTGTTCATTGAGTTGGTTGAGGGTAAGTCACTAAACTGATCAAGTATATAATTCTGCTCCTAAAAGCACGAGACATGCCACTAATGTGCACATTTGGCATAAAAAATGTTAACAATGGAATCAATTGGTCCAATATGAAACAAAGTAACAAATTTAGAGTCAAAATCGAGTCAAATGAAATATAGGAACCAAAATGACTAAGGACTAATGTAGAGGTACCAACAATGTAATTTGCCCTTGATTAAATTAGTCAAATTGGGCCCTAAAAGTTGGAACAACTTTAAAAGTTCAAAAGTTCAACTACATTTTTTTGTTCTCCAAAAAAAAAAAAAAACTAACACGTTTCTTTTTTCTTTTTTGATTGGTCACTTTTTCTTTTTCTTTTTCTTTTTCTTTTTTTTCTCCTTCTCCAATCACCACCCGTCACGTGTGTGTGGGGGTGGTAGGGGTTGAAGTTTGAGGTGGTCTAAATCACTGCTGTTTATTTTAATACACATTTTAACATCTTCATTACAACACTCATACACTGGCTAAACTAACACGTTTTGACACATAAAATTAAGTCTCATTTTTATTACATTATGTCATATAAATGCACCATCACACAATTTTAACATTTTCATTGAAGAAGTTTTTAGAGGCATAATGCTGGTCTATCTGCCCTAAACATTAAGAAGGGGCATCCCATCCCAAGATATTATTAAGTGCCGTTTTGGGAAGATTAGTAAAAAGCAGCGTTTTGATGCAAGTGGAAAAAAGCAATGGCAGCCAAAAAAGCAACAAAATCATTTGGGGAGAGATAAAAATGCAAGTCGTTGAAATTATGTAGCCACCCTCCATGTTAACAAATTGGGGCTTAGGACAAAAAAGTTAAAAAGTAAATTTCCTATGTTGGATAAAGATATTTTGATCATTTTAATTTGATTTGACACCATAAACAAATATTAAATTAAAAAGTCAAAAGCTAACTTTTTATCAACATTCCAAAACACCTCTAAACAAATACTACTCAATTTTGAGAACCTATAATTAGTGACATTTATTCTCCATATCGTTTGTTATATGTCAGTGGTGTTGGTGGTGCAATGATGGCTGCGGTAATGATAGCATTGGTGTGATAACAGTAGCGATGATTAGTAGTAATAGTGGTGGAGGTGAAAGTGATGATCATTGTATGATAACATTAATAAGAAATGTATTTTACATTCTAGAAAAAGAATAAAATAAAATAAAAATCATTAAAATAAGCTTACTTTTGGTTAACTTCTATTTTCTGTCATGCTAAACACCAATATATGTGAGAAATAATTTTCAAAAGCACAAAATATACTAAAACAAACCGCGTGAAATTTGCTTTGGTTTCTATTATCCAATTCTTCTACTTTCTTTCACATTTAAAAAATAATTAATTTATTATTAATAAGAACAAAAACTTCATGTTTGAATCTAAGTTATAACAAATCCATATGTTTATAACAGTTGTGTTTACATACACATGATGGAGACAATTAGGGGCGTAAATCTAGCTCACTTAAAATCCACTTGCGGTCTGGACTCGAGTTTAGCCCAAGACCTTAGGTCTGGGCTTAGGCTATATGTTTTGAAACCCGACTCGACCTGTGAGTTTGATCTGCTAGGCCCAGCCCAACTAACTCGAATTTTTTAAAATTTGTAATATTTTATTTCATTTTGAAATAAAAATTATTCATTAAATATTATCTATTTAATTTAATGATTGTAATATTTCGTTCCATTTTGATATATATAAAATTATTCATTTCATTTTATTTTTTCATGAAAAGACTATGCATGCACCTTAAAACTAAAGGAAAAAAAAACACAAATTTCATACTTTTTTAATCATAACTAAAAAAACATAAATCATAACTAAATACCATAAAACATAACCAAATATCTCAATAATCATAACTAAAATATTATATTAGAATTTTTCATTTGTTTTTATCCCTCATAAATAATCTATATATATAATATATCTATCAATTATTTTATTTTTTTTTTAAAAAAAAAAACACGGCAGGCCCGGTCAGTGGCTCGTGGCCCCCCCCCCCACCCCCCTTTTAGTGGGCCTCAGCCTTAGATTTTTTCCATGTGGGCCCGCCCAAATTTTGGAGGGAGCACGGTTTTACACCCCTACAGACAACTCTCAAGTCTTTAACCAAAAAAATAAAAATAAATGGCAAACAGAAAAACTGGATTTTTTAATTTTATTTTTTATATAACATGTTACTAGCAACTGATTACCCAAAAATTCTGATAACATTTTTGGAAAATGTATTACATCCAAAGAAGAAAAATGGCGTGCTAACATTTCACGCAGCCTCGTTCTAAACTAGACAACAGAAAGAAACAAAGTACATCCTTAGAAATTCTAGAATTTGAACAAATTTTTATGAACCCTTGATACAACTCGACATGTTAATGACACTCTTGTTTTAAGTCTGTGCAATGTATTAACATCTCCAATTCTGTTCAGTTCAAATGCTTTGTCCGGCTCTGACAGTGCTTGATTTACTCCATTGTATTTCAGAATTTCATCAACATTCACAGCCTGAAAAAAGTGAAGATGAAAGAGATTTAACAGCGCATATTGGTTTTCAACTGCTCAATTACATTAACTCACTTATCTTACCTTGTCATATTGTTGGACCTCGCTATCTTTTATGCCATGCAAGTAATCTGGAAACCATAACTATGATTTCAATATTTTGATGAAATATAAAGCGCGTAATGAATTTGGATAAAAATGAAGATGTAATCTACCTGAGTATGCCTTATCTTTGAAAATGAGTAAACTGCGAGGCATCAATAGGACTGAAAAAGGGAGGTGATCATCCAACCACTTCTCAGTTTCACCATCAAAAGCTCCATCAGAAGGTTTATCGTCAACATTATTTGTCAACGTGTTTGTGCACAATTGCAAACTTGAATGAGGAGTGAAATCCATAACCACCGGTGATCCAAGAGACAGAATTGCTACTACTGGAAAATAAGCAGGCCCATCCTGGTGTGCCTGCATTACGCAAAGCAAAACCATTAGGAGTCAAGCCATTATGCTACTAAGGCCCTGTTTGGTGCAGCTTCTTGCAAGCTGAAAGCTAATAATCAGAAAAGCAAAATCTGAAAGTACACCTTCCTTGCTTCTCAATAATCAACTTATTTTTAGCTGTTCCTGCGTCATAAGTTATAAACAAAAGCTACGCCAAACAGGCACTAAAAACAGTACCAAAAACTGCATGAAAAAAGGAAAAGAAACTGGACGAGAATGAATCAGAAATCAAGCTATTTTTAAGAATCTTCTTCCACACTTTGTTCTGAAACCTAAACAGCAATTTTAGCAACAACAAAGACTTACAAAATTATGATTCTCAAGGGATAACCCTGTCCAATGGACATTCATTGCTTTCAAACCTTGGGCTTAGGCATTCAGCAACAAGAAGAGAGAAATAGTTGAGGCATTAGAGCATCTCCAATGCTTACTTCTTTTTTTTTCCATCAAATTTAAATTTGACGAAATAAGTACAGTTTTGCTGCTCCAATCATGACATCAAACCCATGTCAAATGAGGGGAAACCCAAAACTTTGATCAAATTAAGGGAGGCTTTAGCGATTCATCAAATTGTTGCAGGTAGCTGTACACCGGACGACCGCCGGTTGACACCTTGTGCTTGCAAAATTGCCCATAACTGACCAAAAGGATGGACGACCGGGAGGATGTCCTCCCAAACAATTGACACAAGCCGGTTGACCGCTTGGACATTCTCCCGGTCGCCCTCTCAGTCGCCTGGTTGTTTGATGAAAATTGAAAATTTAGCATTGGAACGCTTGACATCAGATGAAGCTTAACCCAAATCTTTACTCAAATTTGATGGAAAAAAAGACTAAGTGTTGGAGATGCTCTTAGAAGAAGATATATATCAAATGTGTGAGGGTTCAGAACAAACCATTATGCCTTGGTTGGGAAGGTATTCATTGATGAGCACATGATTAATTGCTGAGGGGAACAAGCATGATTCCTCGAATATTCTTTCTGTAACTCTTTTTAGCCAAGGAGGCACTGCGAGAGAGAGAGAGAGAGTGGTCACAAGCTTGTACCTTTGCTTCTTTTTCTATCAATTTAATTTGTTTTCGGTCAACTAAAAGAGACATTTTTATTTGAACAAGAAACCCATGGAATAAGCAAGCTAGGTATACTGCTCATCATTGAACTGTAAACAACACAGATACAAACAAAACATGATTGACATAGAGATGCTAACAATAAAAGAGGATCGAATTTTGCACAAAGTATGCTTTATGTAGGAATTTTTTATGAGTTTCATCAACATTTATTATGTTTTAGGAGCTAGGGTATTTCAGTACTTCATATTCTATTGGACATGAAGTGTAGAGGTCCATTGTCATATCATAGGACAATTATGACTTTGGGTCCTATATGAAGTGTTCACTAGGTTAAAGTTCACTAGGTCTAGAATTAGCCTGAATAGTTGACAAATTGAGTTTTTAGTCCTAGTAGAAATTAAGAGATGCTAGCAACCTGCATATATCTTCTTATACCTTCAATTCAAGTGAGGAGTGAAGCTTTGAGAGGCTTTAAAGCTTTGGATGCAACCATAGTTCCAGGGTGTTACCTAAAACAATCTGAATTTCCAGCAACCTTTTATCTAAATCCAACTTCCAATCGCTTCCAAAAGCCCCTTTACTTCGAAAGACCTTAAAACTTTCTTCCACTATTTAAAACCCCAATACTACAAGTTTCTCATTACCCTAATTTACCGCACACAATCATAAGTAACACCATTATGAGTGCTCAAGTGCTTTCCCATATCAATTTGGTATAGTAGCTAAATAATCCTACATGGCTGTTCAAAGTCCTAAATGATGATACAGGTTCAAACCTAGTCTTTAGACAGATATCGCTATTGCAACTGAAGAAGATATTAGGGCAATGACCAAGATACTAAAATTGAGCAATTCAAAGTAATGGATGAGGACATAGCTCAATGTTCTACTCTTGAGAAGGCCAAGGTAAACCATAATTCGCAAATAAATTATGGTCTATTTCATTTCAAATCGATCATTAATAGGATCATTAGGGGGAACTTTTTACATTAGAACTCCACTTTCTCCAGATTATAGTTCATTATATTTGAATTTATTTTCCTTCTAACAAAATCTTTAAGAAAATAAATAAGAAAAAATTGGAAATCTCTTTGGATCTCTAAATCCACCATTTTGGAATGAAAAATGTAACATGTATAGAATGCACGCACCAAAACATAATTGCCAGGGTATGAGCCCTTTTTGTAACACCTGATCTCTAATAATCAATCAAATCCAATCCCTCTAGTTGTTCAAAGTATTGATATCTTCATTTCTCCCACCCCTTTCAACTACACTTTCTTATATAAAATCTCTACACAAGGTACGGTACAGTAGTCTTAGAAAGCCTAGCTTTGAAATTAAGCTGAGTGATTTTTTTGATCTAGTTCATTCATCCAAGATATATGTATCAATAAAGGAATTATTTTGATATATTTCTCAAACTAACTAGTGAGGAACATAAAAAATTCTATAATTTATGAGATTCAATACGATAAGTGTTTCACGTGATTCAATTAAAATACTATTATTATCAAGATCTATAAGTTAGGTTACATGAGATGCTCCTCCTATAGAACAGATAAATGTCAACTGCGATTGGAGTTTTATGATAGATAATGATGTGAATACATAAGCTTTGTTTGGGATGTTTGGTTTTGGCTGAAATAGCCAATAAAGACAAAAAAAAAAATTTAAAATAGCTAATAAGACAAAACGTCACATTCTATTCTACATATCAATCAATCATTTTTTCTCTTACAACCATCTATTCAACTACAAACAAACAAACAAACAAACAAAAAAACTCGCAAATCATCCTAAACACAACTGTTTTCATCTCATTAAAATGCCAAATAGCCAAGTTCCCAAATGAGCACCTCATTTGAGTGTTGTGAAAACAGTATACATTGTCTACTTTATAAAGTTAACGGATCCCTATGAAGCATAAATAAAGCGGTCTTTCTAGCTATAAACATAGATATACAACCAAAAAAAACAATTTAATAAACGAATTGTAAAATCTATGAAAGGAGGAGATATTGTGCTAATTTGGTTACTTTAATAATTATTGGTAAACAATTTATTTTTTTCAATTTCTTATCATTGATATGAGTTTGCATACATACATACATACATATATATATATATATATATATATATATATTTTACTACAACAATTTGCAAAGTATTTTTTGATAACTACGACTTTTCAATATATATCTAAGGAAATCAGACTACTCACTATTTGTTAAATTTGATCCTTACACCAGTTGTAAATTTATGGTACAGGCTTTATCGGCAGTAACCAGGTCAAAGTCTCTAATATGGGACTAGAAAAATCCTATTCTATTATGTTATTGACTCCCAAAAAACATACGTACATTCTTTTTTACCCACTGGGATTCACCAAGATAAAGACAAAATTAGACAAATGGTAAGGTAGCGTTTGGTAATGTTTACACTTTTTGTTTATGTTTACAATAGTTTTATAAACTGATTTTTGTTTATTTTTGGAAAAACATAAACTACAAATGTGTTTGGTTTGAACAAAATGTTTGAAAAATTTTAAAAACATAAACTAAAAAATATGTTTGTTCAGCCGAAAATATTTAGATTTATTTTTTATTATTTATGACAATGGGATCATACACATTATAATTGGAAAAAAAAATTGTTAGTCAATTTTTTAAATTTCTGTTTAAAAACCAACGTAAACTCATTTTTTGAGTTTACATTTTTTTCCTTAAATTTATAAATTGAGACAACCATTTATAAACTAAAAAAATTATCAAACAAGTTTTTATAACAGTTTTTAAAATTTTTATAAATATAAACTGAAAACTGCAAACGAAATGGTTACCAAACATACCTTAAGTAACCTGGTTTTCTTTATACGTAATTGAAATCATAGTCATCAAAAAGCTTGATAACACTTTGTAAATTATGGTACATATGCATAAATATGCAACTTTTACATATTAGTGATAGGAGATAAAAGAAAGCATGTTTACTAATAATTATCAAAGTGACTTACAAATCTCATAATTATCAAGCTAAATGAAATTTATTTTAAATGAATGTTTTAGATCTAGAAAGAAAGTAAAAGTGAAAGCTACCAATTCTTCTTCATAGAAATCCCTTAAATTTATGTATTATTTTTACAATACTCAAATAATCTGTAAAATTTATACTACTCTACAGTATTCATATCCATCAACTATGTCACGGTTGAACTTTATATGACTAAAAGGAAGAGCATTCCATGCAACCTAACCTATAAGGATTGTTAATAATGGTGTTGCAATTGAATCAAGTAAAACACATAGCATATCGATTCTCATAAAGTGAAAAAAAAAAAAAAAAAAAAAAAGGGGGAAAAAAAAAAAAAAAAAAAAAAAATGAATACTCATCAATAGCTAGATTGAAAAATATATCAAAATATTATTTGATTGGAATATAAAATTATACATTTTGCGCGTACTCCCACATGACATGTCCTATATTTTCTAAAAATTTCAGGAAGCACATTCCCAGGCCCCAGGACTTGACCATTTAGCCAAATGTCATAGGCTTTGGAGTCAAAAAGAAGGGTGTGCACTGCATGCAGATGAAGAAGCCATTTTGGTCAACAGAGAAAATACAATTATTGATGGAAATATTGTCCATCCTGTAGGTGCTACCTTTTAACCTTGCATTTGCGCTTTATTTATTTGAATTATACAAAATTTAGTTCCTTTTCACAACTGTAGTGACCTGCCACAATGGCAATTTTCAAGCTACTGGAAATATGAATTGGTAATGATTTCACCAACTAATTGGTTCCTAACTTATTTTCAAATATATAGTAGGGACTAGTTTGATTAAAGTGCTAGAGTAAAAGGTTTTCCACATTTTTTTTTTTCTTAACATCTATGAGCCAAAGTTTGCCTAATTAAGCCAAAAACCAACCTTAAAAGCCACAAAATACATCTTCTACCATTTACATTCCAAAAAATCTATCAATTGCAACTCATCCTTGAACTATTTTATTACAAACCCCAATATTAAAATCCCTTTAGGGCCTGTCTTTTTTAAAAAACTGGGCATCATTTCAAAATATGTAGCATTTTTGCACTTGTGAGCCACACGGAAACAAAAGAGAAAAGGCCAGATCAAACTAGAAAAACCACCCAATAATAAAGTTATGGATGGAAGAAACCCATATATATCAAAATCGAAAATTCTATATATCACATACAGTTTGAACCTGGGAGTTCTATCATAGAAATGGAAACCATGTACATGAACATATTTTTGCAAGTAACATAATAATGAAAAATTAGATAGAGAGAGAGATGGTTTATTTGAAATTCAATGCAAAACACATTGGGATGCTCTATATTCCCATGGGAATCCCAAAGGGGCTGCATAAATTATCATTTCACGAGTACAATTTTGGAATATAAATTAAGACAAAGTTATCTATCACTTACAATCTTGCGCCAGAAGACCCTTTTCATGTACAACACCTCCTATCATACCCCAAACAAATACATTTATTAATTCCACAAAAACGGTTCCCATTTTTTTAAGATTGAAGGAAATTAAAAAGATAAAACGATGCAATTGCAACATACCCCAGTTTTGTAGTTTTCTATTCTTCAAAGATTTCCATTTAGATACCGGAGCTTGATAAATCTACAAGACAAAAACAATACCATTTTAGAAAGAAACATAGTTGAGATTATTAAATCCTAAACAATTCGAATTGAAGTAGAGAAAATAGAAGGTTTAAACTGCATGATCACTTTATTGAGGAGTTGGTCTTGTTCGCTATCAGTGATGAAGTCTGGTATGTAAAATACAGTGGGCACTGACCCAACAACAAAGTTGCTCAAATTTTCTCCTCTTTCCATTCCTCTGTCCAGACAACTATTCCTTAAGAAATTTAAAAGAAAATTAAAGGTATTAAAA